TATATATATATATATATAAATACATATATACATGTATATATGTGTATATACAGTATTGGACAAAACATTTGCAACCAACATCGAACAATGCTAAAAAGTGTTCCTAATTTTATGTCTTAAAAATTAAACGAACTATACTACCACAGTAAACAGAACAGGAGTCTGGAGTCATAGCATGCCATGATATGAGCAATCAGCTGACAGGTGACAGCACACAGGCAGAATTTCGTTGACAAGTGCCATTTTGCAGCATACATATATATACTGTGAAGCATGGTGGAGGCAATGTAATGGTCTGGGGGTGTTTTTCTGCTAATGGTCAAGGTCCAATACATCGAATCTATGGAATAATGGACCGTTTCATGTATAAAAATATCCTGAAAGATGTTATGTTACCTCATGCTGAATGGAATATACCAATAAAATGGGTTTTTCAGCAAGACAACGATCCCAAACACACTGCAAAAGTAGTCAAGCAGTGGTTTCAAGACATCCATCTATTGGTGATGGATTGGCCGCTTCAATCTCTGGATCTCAACCCTATTGAGAACCTGTGACCTGAGATTGTCAACCGCAGAGTTAATCATGAATGTGTTCGTAATAAGGATCAACTGTTTGAACAAATCCAAAAGGCCTAGGCAGTGATTCCACAAAGTTTCATTGATCACCTGATCGAATCTATGCCTTAAAGATACAAGGCTGTGATCGACAACAAAGGATTCACCACAAAATATTGATATGAATACAGCTTGGTCAACATTTTGTGGAGTTGCACTTGTTTTGTCCAGAAGGAAATTAACTTTTTTTAATACTTTTGATTAATTTATTAATTTTCGTGTACAAATAATGAACTTTATGATGAATAAAATTTGAAGAACGTTGTCTCTAAACAGTTACATAGTTATTTCTCTAAATTGAAAAAATACAGCACTTTTATACAAAGAAACTAAATTAGCATCATTTGGTTGCACTGGTTTTGTCCGATACTGTATGTGTATATATATATACATATATGTATATATATATATATATATATATATATATATATATATATATATATATATATATAAATATATATATATATATATATATATATATATAGTCACGGACAAAATTAAGTAACATTGTTGATAAAATTGATACTCTAACAATACAAACAAAATTATTTACGTCAAGATCTACATAACTGCAATAATTTTATGTTTTTTTTTAAATTTGATTCCTAAGAAAAATAAATACATTTATAACTTTTTATAATTCCTTGCAAAAGTTAATCTATTAAACAAAATTAGCTATCTCACAAATTTTTTTTCAAAAATAAATGTGACAAAAGTAAGAAACATTTGAGTTTTTATTATGAAATATAATGTTTTGTCATAAGCTATTTATTAAAAATGATTATTATTAAAGAGATTTTGTTAAATTTATTAAAAATAAGCATTTTAAACTTTATTTTTTCGGAATTTATTTTTAGAAAAAGTAAAACTAACAATAATAATGGTTCATCATCAAAATTATTCATTGGACATCCGATCTCGGGTCATTTGTGATCGAAAAAAGGGCCTAACCTACAAGCAATCTGCAGAAAAATATCAAATATCAATAAGTGGTGTTAGAAAGATGTGTGTAAAATTTGAAACAACTGGTTCTGTTGAAAATCAGAAAAGATTTGGTCGCCCCCCTAAGATTTCAACAAGAACTGATATGCTAATTGCGCGAATAGCAAAACAAAATTCAACAATAACCTCAAGACAGATTGTTGAAAATCTTAAATTAAATGTTTCCAGTCGACCTGTACAGAGAAGACTTAATTCAAGTGGTTTAATAAACCGTCTTCAAAAAAGTAAACCCCTCATTAGTGGTATAAGCAAAAAAAAACGCTTAGCATTTGCAAAACTGCATATTAACAAGGATGAGGCATTTTGGAACTCAGTGTTATGGTCTGATGAGAGTAAATTTCAAATATTTGGCTTTAAAAAACGACAAAGAGTTTGGCGCAGACCTTGTGATGCACTCTTAGATAGAAATCTTAGAAAAACTGTCAACCATGGAGGTGGCTCAATTATGGTTTGGGGATGCTTTGCTTCAAATGGTGTGGGAAGACTGGTGAATGTTTAAGGTATAATGACAGGACAATTGTATGTTGATTTGCTTTCCAAACATTTATGTCAATCCGCTAAAAAATTGAATTTAGATCGCAAGTTCTTTTTTCAACAAGACAATGACCCCAAACACACCAGCAAAGTGGCACAACATTTCCTCAAAAAAAGTAAAGTTAACATCCTTAAATGGCCACCACAAAGCCCGGACCTTAACACCATTGAAAATTTATGGGCAATTTTAAAATCTAAAATACCTCCTTCAAAACGAACAAATAAAAAAGAATTTTTTGAGGTTCTTAGTGAAACTTGGAATTCAATTGGTACTGACGTCAAAGCTTGTAAAAAGCATGCCAAGACGTTTAGAAGCAGTCGTGAAAGCAAAAGGTGGTGCAACAAAGTACTAAAATGAAAATCAGACATGATATTCTTGTATTTTTAATATATATTACTGACAAAACATTATATTTCATAATAAAAACTCATAATAAAAAAAGATGTTTCTTACTTATGTCGCATTTATTTTGGACAAAAAAGTTGTAAGATAGCTAATTTCGTTTAATAGAGTTACTTTTGCAATGAGTTATAAAGAGTTAAAAATATTTTTTTTTTTCTTTGGAATCAAATTTTTAAAAAAACATTAAGTTATTGCAGTTGCGTAGATCCTGACTTAAATAATTTTGTTTTTATTGTTTGAGTTTCGATTTTATCAATAATGTTACTTAACTTTGTCCATGACTGTGTATATATATATATATATATATATATATATATATATATATATATATATATATATATATATATATATATATATATATATAATATTTCATAAAAATAGATTCAGAATTCTACATGTCTTTTAAAGTCATTTAAATGTCATTAATGTATATATTTTAGATATCGGCGACGTGGAAGAAAATGTTGACGGCAATGCAGAAATATAGTTTCTTATGTATATTTTTGTGAAATAAAAATTAAGTAATGTTAGTTAAAATGTTTCTTTACTTATTTAATTTAATCCTTTTTTATGACTAATTTAACTGCTGTAACACTTTTGTATCAAACAAACCCCAGCAAAGAAAGAGATATCTAAAATGCATCTAAAAACTGGTCTAAAAGACGTCTAAATTCACGTCGTGAACGGGACATAAATAGATGTCTTTTAGATGCATTTTATTCGACACAAATAAATGCCTTAGACGAATAAAAGATGTGAAATATACATTTAAAGATGTATATTAGATGTATATTAGATGCATAAAAGAGCTATTATTAACTAAAAAATTATCTATTATCTATCTTTTTTAAACGCGCCTTAGACATCTATTTAAGAGACGTATTTTATACATCTAATATGCATTTGTAAGATGTATATTTCACATCTTTTATGCATCTAAGGCATTTATTTGTGTCGAATAAAATGCATCTAAAAGACGTCTATAAGATGACGTCTATTTATGTCCCGTTCTAGA